TCACCACCCCCGGTTGTGTCACCAGCCCCAGTTTCATCACCAGCCCCAGCCATGTCACCAGCCCCATTCACATTGTCCGCCCTAGTCACATCAGCAGCCACAGCTGCACCCCCAGGCCCAGCTCTGTCACCAGCCCATTCACACTGTCCCCACAGTCACATCACCAGCCCCAGTTGCACCCCCAGTGCCAGCTCCATCACCAGCCCTGGCTGTGTCACCAGTCTCCAGTCGGCTGCATCACCAGTCTCTGCTGCATCTCTCTTTGTGTCACCAGCCCCAGTCATGCCACCGGCCCCATCACATCGTCATCCCAGTCGCATCACCAGCCCCGCGTGCATCGCCCACCTTGGTCGCACCTCCAGGCCCCATCACTGCACCAGCTGTGGCTGTGCCACCAGCCCCAGTTGCACCATCACCCCAACCACGTTGCCAGCCCCAGCCATCACCAAGCCTTGATTTCTCCAAGCCTGGCTGCATCACCGAGCACGTGGCTTCTCCCAAAGCAGTGACTGGTGGGATGCCACCGGACGGTAGACACCTCAGCTCTCAGTCAGGGCTGGCTTCGCTAACCCACTGTGCAAGGACCAGCCTGGCTCTGCGCTCAGAAGCAAAGTGTGTTTATTATTTTCTAAAATCTGCTGATTTCGAGCCAGTTCTGCCCAGGGAGCCTCACTGGCTGCCTGCACAGTGGTGGTGGGCAAAGGTGCTCTTGGAAGCCCTAGCTGCCGTGCTACCCCCATCACTGCCCCGGGAAGCTGGAGCCCGTGCTCATTCCATGAGCTGCTCCGTCCCCAGTGAGCAGAGGCTGTGGCACAACGGCCTCTGAAGTGCCTAAATGTGGCCTGCTAGTGACAAGGCCACGCTGTAATTTGCAAGTGTGATGTTAATGAGCTGGCAGCGGGGTTAATTATCCACCTAGTAGTGGGAAGAGACAAGCCTCTGAAGTATAATCAAGCACCGTTCCTGAAAGAGAAACCAATCAGAGCGGATGTGGGTGCCAGCCCATCCACTTGAGCTGTTGGTCTTGCTCCTTTTCCTTCCAAACTCTGCTCTGAGTCCTTTGCTCCCCTGCATGGCAGCTCATGGTGGCTACCAGCACGGAGGGAAGCTGGCCCTCATGCCTTTCAGTTCTTTTTGGGCTCCTTAAGGACTTTGCGTCCGGGTCGGATCTTCCCCGCCTTCCTCACTTCTGGGCTGGATCTCCCCTGCTCCAGCTCCTCCTGCTCCTCCGAGCTCCCCAGCAGGATTTCATTGATGACACTGAGCGTCAGGTTGCTGAAGACCATGTTAAGGTGGTGGACGCCTCGCAGCTCGTGGACTTGCACTTTCTGCTTTTGCTGGCCGCGCCAACGCTTGCACAGCTCCAAGCTGCGCTTGTTGACGGTGTCGTCCCCGTCACCATAGATCATGTCCACAGGGTCCTCGTAAGGAAAACGCTCGTCATAGATGTAAGTCTCCACGGTGGGGTAGCCCGTGCCATAGAGGCAATACGTGTCCACCCCAGGAGGGGGCAGGTCCTTCAGCAAGTCCTTTGTGTCCTCCCACATGTACCAGCCGTCCTCCAAGTTGATGTCAGTGAAGAAGCGTTGGTAGTCCTGGTAGGTGTAATTGTAGGAGGGTGTGGAGATGAAAACATGGGTGTCGGGCCAGGCCAGTCTCGTTGGGAGCATCCAGGGGCTGGTGGTGGTCATGCGCCGCTCTTCACGGAGCTTGATGTTGGACATGAGTGGGATGCCCTGGTTGTCACCTGCAGGACACACAGGGAATAGTCAGAAATCTACCCTCATAAATGGTGCCCCTTGGGTGGCTGTGCTGGGGTCAGCCTGTCCAGCAGTGACTCACAGCTGTCTCCTGGTAGTTCCACCTCAGATCTTCCCCTGCTTACTCCTGCCCTGCTCATGACTGTGTGTCTTCTCCTCACCACTCTGGCTGCAGATACCCAGAGGAGCCTTCCAAACTCTCCTCTCATCTCTGGCATTTTTTTGGTGTGTCTGGACCATGCAATGACCTCAGATTACCTTAAAAACGTCTCTGGCCCTCGTGGTGATAGAGAAAAACATGAGGAGGTGAATTAAGGGTGAAGCATGGGGCCAGATGTCAAAATCTTCAAGCACATGATTTTCAATTCCACACATTTTTGGAGGCTCAGCTTGTGACTTGTGGATATTTTGGGCCGTCAGCATTAGGCAAGGGATTGTGGCTTTCTGGGCTGCCAAGAGACTAAAGAGGAACTGGGCAAAGGGAGATTAAAGCCTGAAGATGGCAAAGCTTATGGGGGATGGGCTTTGAGACACGAGGAGAACCAAGTAGGGTGTGCAGGAGAGCATGAGTGTCCCTTAGGTGCTCACCATGTCCTCTGCTGCAGAAGAGATGTATGGTTTGCAGCAAAGGTCCAGCAACCCCACTGTCCCTCATGGGGAGATGGTGTGAAGGGAGTGGGTATGGCCCAAAAACCCACCAACCACGGAAACCAGCCCAAGGTCCAGAGCACGCCCTGGGCTGTTCCTGCTGCTGTGGCTGTGGCTGATATCTCCACGGTGTTTTCTGCACCAGAGCATGAACGATGCCTCCACAGACCCCTCGGCCATCTGTCCCCCACCTCTTCCACCACCGTGTCCTTTCCCTGCCCACCACCCCCCTTCCATTTCTGGAGGAGGGTAAGAAAGCGAAGAGGGGGCTGCACAGCAGGAGTCACCCACCGGACGCCAGGACACGCAGGGGCTTGACGGACCCTCCCCAGGGGGCACCCAGGGAGATGAAACCCCCGATGTACTGATCTTTCCAGGCTTGCGTCTGCTGTAGCAGGAAGTAGAGGATGTTCAGGTTGCCAATGCTGTGTGCGATGAGGAAGACGCGTTGCTGGTACTCATCGTGCATCTCCTCGATCAGTGCCTTCAGGTTCTGGAAGTATTCAGGCTGGTCCTCTGTGGGCAAGAGGGACACCAGCTCTTGGCCACCTCTCTCATGGCCATGGGGCTCCAGGGCTGTCCCTAGTGCCACCATGTACTCACACAAGAGCACTGGGAGTGGCTGAGAACCCACCACCCAGCCACACCTACCCAGAGGTTCCCCCACACCCCCGAGAGCCACCCCGTCTCCCTCCCTGCATGGCCACGCACCCCAGACTTACGGGGCCTGACCCTCCAGTCATAAGGGGCTGCCCGAACTGTCTGGTCCCTCACGTAGCCGTTGTTCACCAGGTTCTGCACCAGGGTGTGCAGGTAACCTACAAGCGGAGAGAACAGGTGGGAATTAGGTCTGTGGTCTTCTCCCATAAATATTTTTCCACCCTGGTCCTACTCATGGCCACAATGTTCTCGGGTAAGCCCCACAGCTTGATGGCTCCATCCAGACATAGTGGCTCCATCCACCCATCCCACGTGCACTGGGGTCGAGAATGGGGTGGTGCCTGCTGGCACTCAAAGGTTGTGTGCACCTGACGCCAGCGTCCCTCACTCCCAGGTGACCTGGGTCCTGCTGGAGACACCTCTCCACTTGCATGCAGCACATGGGATCCCTGGACACGCCGTGACTCTCCTCTCACCTGCCAGCTTGCTCCGATCCAGGTATTCCACAGAATAGGTCTTCCCGAAGCCGGGCACGCGGATGTGCACCCCTGGGGCATTGGACATTTTCCGAGAGGTGCGGTTGTACATCACCCTGCGGGGAGAGGACGGAAAGTAGCAGAAGAGCTGTGCTCCCGTAAAGGACCTGGGGCTGGGGTGGAGATTATTGGGTGACAGTTTGGACCTTGGTGGCTCTTCACAGGTCTCGTGCGGATGGGGAGGTGGACTGGTGCCAAGCCAGTGCCCATGCCGATGGCCCAGCAGCTTGGTGCAGGGGGCTCTGATGGGGTGGGCTGTGGTAGCCCCCTCACCCTGCAGCTCTGGGCAGGGTGACAGCTTCTCTAGTGGGTGCTGAGGATGGTCTGGTTGGGCACGAGCACATGGCAAGGACATGGGAAAGGGAGTGGCAGCCAGCCAGCCATGTTCCCAAATAGTCCCGTAGCGCTCTCGAGGTTTTCCGTGTATTCGAGGCCGTGGCCCCTAGGGGGAGGAGAGGGGAGGGAGATCCCTGGTAGGTCATTTCCCCAGGGAGCTCCCCGGGTAGGGGTGGATGGTACCTGGTGTTATCGATCCAGCAGTCGACTCCCACTGGCAGAAAGGTGTTGAGGTTGAGCCAGATGGTGAAATAATCCTCCGTTTTGCGGTAGCACATCCAGTTCACCACGTCCGGCTTATCCAACTTCGCTTCCAGCTGGTTCCCGAGCCCCCCGGGCACTGGAGGCACCACAGAGGGAGAGCAGAGCCAGCTACAGACCCCATCACACTGACCCACCGCTTCCCACGGCCCCCCAAGCGGGACCTGCCCAGGTCCGCTGGAGGAGCATCCCTGGAGAGCAGCCTACTCCACACGGGAGTGAGTGTGAGGGGACTATGGGAGCAGCACTAAAAACACATTCTCAGGGACCCCCCTGAGCTCCATTTCCCATGGGGTGACCCCCAGAGCTGCCACCTTCTGTCCAAATCAGCCCATTCTCCCCAGAGCAAAGCATCCAGGATTATTCCCCCCTGCCTGGCTGGGTTTCCATCCTCCTCTCTTTGCTGCAGCCTGGGGGAAGGAGCCAGTGCTGCTGGGGGCACCCCGTCCTGAGGTAGTGGGACAGCTCAGGAGTGCAGAGGAGCGAGGTCTCTGAGCTGGTTTGGTGCTGAGCAGAGCCATACCCTGAAGGAGCTCAGTGCAAATGGCACGTACAGTGAACACAACACGGTTCTAAGTGAGTTCACACTGGCGTGTGTGGCCAGGGCTCCCCCGATGGTGGGTGACCATGAGCGAGGTGTTTGCTCTGCCTCTGGGACCTTCAGTGTGGTTCCCCGTGGGGATGGGACACCCATCCCACCACCACCCTGGCAGATGTGCCTGTGCCACGGGCAAACGTTGTGGAGAGTGTTCCCAGCCAGTGTGCAGGAGCCAAGAGCCAGCTCCTGGTGCCAATGCTGATCCCTCAAAGGCGAGGACAAGAGATGAAGGGACTGCAAGGTACAGTGGCTATGAGCCTGTTGGGATGGGAGTGCTGGTTGGCAAAGCCCACGGCCCCAGCGGGTCTGAGGACAGTCCTGAGACACATGGCTGAGGATGGCGTGGACCTTCACTGCTGCTGCAGGCACTGTCTGCTCTATGTCCCGTGTAAGATCTTCCCCAAGGACACCATGAGCCGCCTTGTGCCCTAAAAAGTCCCTACAGATGCCTGCCTTGTGCTGTGCTGGGACCCAGACCAGGGCTCTCCTGTGGCTCTGGGATCACACAAGCTCTGCAAGGTGGGAGCCACCCTACTAAGGGATGCAGGCAAGGAGCATCTTTGACCCGAGAAGGATGTGCCCCGTTTCCCCTGGTCCCCATCAGCTTCGGGTGTCCCTGCGCCCTGGGATCCATAGGTGCAGGTGTTTTGGGGAGCGCCACGGTGCTGTCCCTGTCACAGGGTGCAAGGGTGAAGCCTCTCCTGGCTTGGAAATGCTCTACCCTCATTCCACCCACCACAGCCCTGTTGCCTCCAGCATGGCAAGGACATGGCTGAGGGAGCTGAGGATGTTTCCAAACACCTCGTCCCTATCAAGAGGGGAAAGAAATGTAGCAGTTGCCTCCCTCAACCTGTTTCACAGCTCCCTCACTCTGTGGCATCTCCCTAAGGTAACACGGAGGGTCTAATCCTGCCTTCAAGGTACCTCGTTAGGGATTAGGTCACCCAGAGGATCCTGGCATAGGGTTCCACCTCAGATCTTCCCCTGTTTACTCCTGCGTGTTCTCTCCTCACCGCTCTGGCTGCAGATACCCAGAGGAGCCTTCCAAACTCTCCTCTCTGGCATCACATCCCCAGCTGCTAGGAGGGGCTGAGTGTAGACCTGGACATGCCATGGCCTCCACAGACCCCCCGGCTGCCTGTCCCCCACCTCTCCCACCACCGTGCCCAAGACGTGTGATACCCCCCCCCTGGACTTCCCCGGCCCGCGAGAAGCTCTGATGGCTCCCGAGGGTTCTCAGCCAACACCCCCACCCTTGGCACACAGCCCTGAGCTCTGCCTGTCCTTCCAGAGAACATTGGGTAATGATTAAGGGAGTTCCTCTGGGGGCAGAGGGGTTATCGGCGGTCCCAAGGGCACTGGGGGTTTCCGGGACGCCTCTCCCCGGGGGAGGGGCTGCACACTGATGCCAAGTGGCACATGGGGGAGTTGAACTCGCCTGGGTGTGGGACAGGAGCTGAGGCAGACGCTCAAACCATCACCAGACATCCTGAGAGAGGCACCCGGTGATGGCCATTGGGGTCTCCTGGCCACCTGCATGGCCAAGCAGGACCCCAGGAGGCCACCAAGGCTCCGGACACCATCCCCTGCTCTCTGATGCCCCTGGAAGGGAGTTTGCAGGGTCAGCCCTTAGGGCTGTTCTGCTTTTTCTCTTCTCTTCTCTTTTCAAAGGGGAAGTTGGGCTTGATTCAAGAAAAAGGAGAAAAAGCCCATCTCTGCCCAGCAGAGCCTTCATGGCAAAACCCAGTTCAAGTGCCCAGCGGTGGCACGGGGGCAAAGGAAAGCAGAGCTGGGCAGGATGGAGGTACCAGCTGCTGCCTGCTGCTCCCCCCTCCCCGGGTTGGTCCCCCAGCCTCTCCTTTCACCCACCTGGGCACCTCAGCCAAAGGCTCCTCTCCTCGATGCCACCCCCAGGCAGGGTGGATGTAGGGTGGGATGGAGGATGGATGCCCTTCTGCGGCAGCAGAAGATGATCTAACCAGCCCCAGGGAGTGACAGAAGACACGGACCGGGGTGAGATTTGGGGGAGCAGAAAGTGATGGATGCTGGCCCGCTGTGCTGGTGGTGGCAGCCAACAAGGGCGTGCTGCAGCCACTGTCCCTCTGCCAGACCCCCCACCCCAACCCCCCCAGAGCCCAACAAGCCCTAAAACACCCCCAGGGGCAGACACGAGATATTAAAGCCCCATTTGCTTTCTGGGGTGCCCAGTCTGTCCCCCCAGCTCCACGCAGCTGCTAGTCCTGCA